TGTTTGCGACTTTTCACAACACATATCTATACCGGGAAAGCATCATTCCAACCAAAACACTACGCCACCGCCACACCACCCAGTCCACATGGTGCCACCCAATCAACGGAGCATCTCCCACACCACAGATATACCGCAGAGCACAACATAGTACCACCAAAGGGTGCTGTTTTCTATGCATGCATGCATGTGTGCGTTTTACATTTTCCCCACAACAGCCCCAATTCCACCCAGGTGAATAGATTCGGAATCAAAGCAGTCTTTATCCTATTGCAGACAACGACAGCATTTGAGGTGTCCAACATAATAAAGCAAATTTATAATTAGACAGTTTTTTTTATTGTTCTTGGGGTACCCCTTTCATTGTTCTTGCAGCTCCCCTTTTACTGTGCCTCTTTTTTTTTTTTTTTTTTTTTTTTTTTTTTTTTTTTTTTTTTTTTTTTTTTTTTTTTTTTTTTTTTTTTTTTTTTTTTTTTTTTTTTTTTTTTTTTTTTTTTTTTTTTTTCTTCTCTCAAATTTCGCTTCTTATGCGCAAGGCTGCCCACGTAGATTGTGGTTGAGCGGCAGCTGCCCACATCCCCGTGTGCCTCCACGGCCCACTTGCACGTGATTTCAGGAGGCAGAGTAAAAGGGAAGGTATGCTCCTGTGCATCTCTTCAGAGCTTCATACTCCTGCCCAATTCATTTCAGATCTTCAGCATATACAGCCTTTGTGTCCGTCCTTCATCTTCATACTTCCGTTCATTTCATTTCTGATCTTCATATCGTCTATACTCTTAATGATGCTCATTCGTATGTGTTTGTTAGTAGTACAAAGGGAGTGGGGGGGAGGGTGGAGGGTAAGGGAATTGAAGGCGGAGTTCTCTAGGAGTATGGTGCAGGGGAGGTAAGGGCAACGGGAAGGAAAGAAATGTGTGGAGGGCAGGATAGAGTGACATGCAAGAGCAGGGGAAAGCTGTATGACGGGTCTCACAGATTTCTAAATATTCAGCGCTGTGAGTGGCCACCCCTACAGACCGGACAGGACCGGTTCGGTTCGGGTGTGGGCTATGGAAGCACCGCATCCAATTTTCGCAGTCACGGTTGCTGCATCGAATGGCACGGCGCAAACAGATGTCACAGGCTACGTGGCTCGTACATGCTAGGAACACAGAGGCACGTCGACCGCAATTATAGAGGAATTGCCGCATGCATGTGTGTGTGTGTGTGTGTATGTGTGTGTGTGTGTGTGTGTGTGTGTGTGTGTGTGTGTGTGTGTGAGAGAGAGAGAGAGAGAGAGAGAGAGAGAGAGAGAGAGAGAGATGTCGACGACTACGTATAAGGCCAGAGACAATAATGTGCGTGTCCTGGGTTGTGTGCTCTGGCCTTGCGTCCTCCGCTGTGTGCTCTGGCCTTGCGTCCTCCGCTGTGTGCTATCGCCTTGTTCCAGATTCTGTTCTGATCTGGTGCCATGGTGCAACTTTTTACTTGTGCATGTTCTGCTGGTCGTGGATGTAGGGTGTGGATGCAGAGCATGAATGCATGGCAGGGATGCAGGGCCTGGATGCATGCGTGGATGCATTCACGGACACATACATGGGTGGATGCCTGGATGGACGCACTAGTGCATGCACGAATGCATGCATGCCAAGATGGATGGATGGATGGATGGATGGATGGATATATGCATTTGTGTGCAAATGCTATTCATGTACGGGATAGTCTGCACACCACATGCAAACGTCGTGCAAAGGAAGAATGCAAACATCTTGATCCCCTCTCTCTCCTTGATACATGCCCGGCTGGGCAATGAACATGGAACCAAGGATCCGCATTGTGATGAAAAGGACTGAATGGACAATGCAATGTCAGTGAAACATCAACAGGCAATGTGCATCCTGATACATACAAAATGGCACAAAGTAGGGCAGTGGAAGACTTAGATAAGTCCTGACCTGACCGGGACTGACGTGACATCCCATCATACACAGCACATGTGAGAGGAGGAGGAGGGACCGCACACATTGAATAAAGGTCCCTCCTTTGTACATGCACATGGGGAGATGGGGGGAGAGGCGAGACGAAGATGGAGGCGAGGGAGAAGACCGAGATCGCAATAGCGAAGTCCAAAAATAGTCCCTTGCCGATGCCCAAGCAATGTCTGCCTCAAAAATGTCAGATCAGATCCTGGGTGCTCTGCCCACAGTAACCTCTGCCTGTATCCTCTGCCTGTAACCTCTCTCTCTCTCGTATGATACTGCTTTTAGCTGTTCAGGAAGCTGCAAGCTGCAGGGATGCCGGCATAGCCGGGTCAAGAGAATGACAGGCCTGCGCATCGAGGGGATGCAAAAGTTCCATCAAGTTGTCTGAAATGCCCAGAACAGTCGGGGCTGCCATTCTCAGAAATGGGAATGGCATTCCCTCGTTGACACATCGCGCACTGAAAGCTTCGTAAGAAGCGAAGTGGTCACACTGCATTGCATCTGGCAAGCCGATTGGGACATGATCACCACAGAATTCCGTGTGCAACGATTCTTATCACCTTGCCCTGAGCACAAATACACCCGTGGCTGATTTCACGTGGTCAGTCTGTATGATGACCGACCTTGAACACACGCCTCCTCATCTCACCCTGACCTTCTTCAACATACATGTTCATACATGGTTTCCTGATGCCTACAATCGTTGTGATCCTTTCACGTTCCAGGGCACAGCGGACGGATATATGCAGAGTAGATTACACGTTCCTGGATGCAGCGGGCGGACATATGCATACACATTCCTGAACATGCATATACGTTCCTGGACACAGTGGACCGGCATAAGCGCACAAGTTCCTCAATACAGTGGATGGACATATGCATACACGTTCCTGGACACAACGGACGGACATATGCATACACATTCCTGGACACAGCAGGTGGAGATCTGCATACACGTTCCTGGACACAGTGGACGGACATATGCATTAACGTTCCAGGACATGCATACACGTTCCTGGACACATTGGACGGACATGTGCATACAAATTCCCGGACGAAGTGCATAGACAGACGCCCGTGCCTATCCCGCAAGAGGGCTCACAAAAGATGATTCACAATTGAGAAGACGACAGCACCATATCTGTTGCTCTCGTGCGCGTTTCTTGTGAGAGAAGTGGAACAATATGCTGAGAGATCAAATAAGAGAAGAAGTGAAAGATTAAAAAGAAAACGGAAAAAACAAGGATAAGAAGGGCCTTCAACAGAAGGGAAATGCGTCTGAGAAGGAGAGCAAAGAGGTGGGATCTCAAACACAGGTGCATGCAAGCAACCGCTGCTACCATTCCACACTCGAACACAATAAATTATGAATATGAACGCGAAAACAGACCAAGAGCAGGTCAGTGAGAATTGCAAACACAGGCTTCAAACCAAGAAAGAATCATACGAGGTACCAACTCACCTAACCCAGTTGGTACACCCCTGAACTCTTGGAATACAGATTTGAGTTCGAACTCCACTGGAAGCAGAATACTGCAATCCTGAATTACCTAGGGCTGGTCAGTTTGAACATGATATTTCAAGGCCGCCACCGCCAGTGAAAAATAAAAATAAAAAAACCATACGAAGTAGGACAAATGTAAAGGTAAACTTTGAAAGAGGTGGGGTGGGGGTGGGGTTCAACGGCAGGAGAGGTCCACAAGGGCGGAGAAGAGTGTCTGCTCCGGAGCTTTACCCGTTGTGTCGAGGGTCGCAAAACCTCTCGAGTTTGATAAACGGCCCTGACATCCGGCCGAACGAGTGAACGAGCGAGGGGATTTTCACAGTAGCGCTCGGTCAAGGGAACTTCCGGAAAGCGCGGGGGAAGAGTCGGCGGGTGGAAGCTGAAGTGTGAATACTACAGGGGGGTAGGGGAAAGGGAGGATCGATATGGACGGAGTGGTGCAGGAGAGATGGCGCCTGATGCAAATCCTGCGCCGGGCGGATTTGCTCCACCAGCCGATTCAGGGGGCAGGGCTGGTAGAATACATAACCATTAACGGAGTGTGTATGACGAGACCTATAAATGAAAGGCCTGGTGTTGCAGGAGGCAGGGGTGAGGGAACGGGAACAGGGGGATGACGCCGCAGCAAGAGCGGCAGGTCAGGGGAGTAGAAGGAAGGTCAGGCGGGGAGGGGGACATCGTCACAATGTCCCATGGGTCGGTGGAGAGGATGACCCCATGCAGACGGATGAACCCCACTCACTATTTGGAAATAAACAGCACAGGAAGGCCGAGCAGCCCTCAGGGGAAGAGAGAGGTCAAAAGAAGCCAGGGCCAGAGCAGCAAACCCAACGGAGAGAAGAGGGAAGTCAGGAGAGTAGCCAGGCGCTGAAGGAGGCTGAGAAGAGACCGGAAACACGGTGGTCTGGATCCCAGCGAGGCTCGGTTGAAGAATCGGTGGAGGAGCTAAACAAGGGGGGGGGAAGAAGGCAACAGGGACCTGGACAGCAGCCAGCAGGCAAAACAGATGGGGGAGGGGAGTACTGAGGCGAATGGCGTAGGGGATGAAGAAGCCTCCATAACACAAGCGTAGGGGGGGAATACTGACGGGAGAACGGAGAATCCGGCAAGCAGCCTGGGTATTGAGGAGGGAACTATGATCAAGGAACAAGTGACAGGGGAGGAAGAAAGGAGCCCGGGGGAGCAAGCGCAAAGCCGGGACATTGCACCGCAAATATCGGCCAAAGGGGGACACTGGTCAGGGAGAGGAAAGGAGCACGGGCGAAGCAAAGGACACGAAGAAAAGTACACGGGTGCCGAGGAAGGAGGAGGAGGAGGCAGGCGAGGGAGAGGAGGAAGCAACCTCGCATGAATCTGGAACGCTCAAGGCCCCGGGGAGACCGGTGTACGAACCACCCATCGTGACGGAGTGGGATAAACGAGGCCGTTCACTGTGTGGAGGAAGACAAGGAGCTAAACAGCTGACGACGGGCCTGCCGAAGAGCTCCTCCTCTGCGGAATGCTTCCTAGTCCCGACTTACTCCTTACGGGGGCCAGAACAGCAGACGTTCCCACGTGAGAGGGAGCGCTCCCCCTTAGGAGGATCAGGACTGGGCCCGAACTTCTGTCTTGGAGGTATGGCCCACAGGGATGTTTCACCTTCGCCGTCCCCCATCCTGAAAGATGCGAGCTTCGGTACGCCAGCTGCAGGGGTGCCGATGAGTTGCAGCGACCACGAACAGGAGGGAGCCTCGGATTCAACAGACACATCAGATAGGTCCAAAACTGATATCTCGAAGACTAGCCAAAAGATGGACCGCGGGACAGATGAGCAAGAGGGGGAGGTGGAGGAGAGGGGGGGAGGGGGTGAACAAGAGGAGGAACAACATTTGATGCATGAGGAACCATCCGCAGAGGGGGGTGCTCAACAGGATATTGAGGATAGCGTGGGAGCTGGCCGTGTGGAAAACAGGGAGCAACAGGATCCGCTGAAGGAATTGGTGAGACAAGAGCGGGCTGAGACAGGGTCAAAAGCGATATTGGAAGGGTGGGGAAGTGCTATGTCTGCCCTATCGTCCTATGACAGTCTTCGGAAGGTATCAAGATGTTAATGGAGGGGCCGACGGAGGTACCAATCTTCGGTGTGAACAAACTCCCGCAGGAACAGCTTGTCCTTAAGAAGGTGGCACAGTGAGCAGGAACAGCTTGTCCTTAAGAAGGTGGCACAGTGAGTGGGAGCAAAGTGTGAAGTCATGCCGCTGCCAGGCATATCCGCCTCGAGACTTGTTCGGCACACACGATGGAAGGGCAAGAATACCCGGTGATCTTGTACTTCCTGCCGGGCACCCTGAGGCTGCGCTGCAGAAGCCTGCAATGAATTAACTTCACTGAGGTTTATGGCCCAACAGTGACCCCGCGAGTCTACCACATTATATATGTGGCTTCACTGGTTATCCTGAACAGTATAAATGCACGCCTGACACGGGAGGAGCAAGTTGGAAATGCACAGCTTCAGGAGGGGAGTAAATGGATGGTACAGGGGTACATTATCCTGTACGGTGTCACAGGGTGAGTGACACCCCCCCAGCAATATAAATCGTATACTTGCGGCACATCATGTGCACTCGAGTTGTGCACGCGGGGCGAATAGTGCACACACGTGATTCGGCTCATGACTTTGAATAATAAAAATAAAATCCGAAAGCACAGGGTGGGGTGGCCATGTGTGCCCCTCGCTTCCAAAAATCAACGTGAAGGAGGAAAAAAAGTTTGGGCGACGTCATACCCCAAAACCGTGTGTGCACGTTTGTGCATGTGTGAGCGTGTGGGTGTGCATGTCCTAATTCAAGGCTAATTGTGTCCAGTCTCTTTTCTGAAGGGTCCCTACAGCAAATCAGCAAGGACCCATCGCAAAGCAGAGATAGGCATTAGGCTTCCAGTTCTGCATGAGTGGGCCGATAATATATAGTCTGGATTCGAATTCAGGTCTGTGTATCAGCGGTTATGGGCCACTAACTCAGCTAGGCCCTGTTGCGCTCCTCACGTGCTTCATTTTCCTTTTCTTAGGAATACATGCAGTGGCCCGAAGGGCCTCTCTACTCACCACACGCACAAAGGACAAAACATATGGCGGCGTATGGTTCCATGTTCTAGCAGAAGATTCATTCTAGGTTTGTACATTTGGTGAGTAGTGCAGCCAAACCCTGAGAATCACGCGCAGAGACCAACAGGGCCTAGCTAAGTGAGCAAGCCATAACTCCTGAAACACAGACCTGACAATCCAGAGGCTCCTGCTCCACTTCATCCTCGACACATGCCTCGATTTGGTGGACGATCTACGCTAATTTGCTGCGAGGACCCTTCAGCTTACCTGCAGGGCCCCTCTAATGTGTGTGAAAGGGGTCTCTCTCTCTCTCTCTCTCTCTCTCTCTCTCTCTCTCTCTCTCTCTCTCTCTCTCTCTCT